AACAAAATATGCTGTTTGTCCGTGTGTGGAAATACACAAGCACGTGACTTCGCAGTAATTGAACAGTTGCACCGTAAGAAGAGACTCCGCCTCCCAATTTGTTTCCGATTATCGCAGCTGTCCGTCCGTGTGTGCCTTATTTCCGCCATTTCAGTCCGACAAGACGTAGTCGGCTGCTGCGTTATCTTCCCAGTTTTGCGCAAGAGGATATTGTGCTGTCTCGTGGGTGATACTTTTCTAAGGATTTTGAAGCCCCTCAAAACACGTAGCCCTACTGTGTTTTGCTTGGCTGATACGTGGCTCTGGCAGCGAAATGTGGCAAGGCTAAAACCTCGGTGCGCAGCGAACACAAAGTCGGTGCACTTCCTTGGCATCAAGTCCGTCTGGCAGAAGGCCGGTATCGCCGGTGTGACGTCGGATACTGAAGAGCGTCGCACATTGCGCAACGCATGAGATAAGGTCGCGCTGTACTACCGTGGCCCCACTGTTGTCCACGATGTGGTCAACTTTCGATCGCAATTCAACGACCAAAACTATAATACGGGAAAACAAAATTTTCTATCCGGGTTCATTGCAGTTCAGTGCAATTATCTGCGTGAACAACAAAATGAACTCGAAAGATTCAATTCCATAATGCACTACACGAAATTACCAGCGGCGCCCTTTGCAGGTTATTGCGTTTATTTACTCACTCATGGAGCTGAGCCCTTCTTGAGAAGCCGCCAATTGTGCAGGTACTCAAGAACTTCCCAGCATTCTATGGAACCCGAAGGTTCATTACCGTGTTCACAAGAGCCCTCCACTAGTCCCTATCCTGAGCAAGAGCAATCCATATCATCATATCCTGTCTCTCTCTAAGATCCATTTTAATATTTTCCACTGTATTGTTTCACCGCCAAGTGGCCAATTTAATTCTGAAAATTCCCTTTTATGAACTTCAAGGATATATTTGTTAATATCTTCCCTCTCTCTTGTAAAATTCTTCTTCTGAAGGTGGCTGCTTCTTAAACTAAGTCCTTCAAGTATGTATCTACTTGCCTGATACATTATAAAGTTCTTGATTAAATTATTTTCATTCATGTCTATCTTAAATAAAGTTAGATAATCCTAAACCAAAGAACACCTCTGAGGGTACATCATACCCTGGGTAGGCAACCTAACAAAATAAAAGTTCTGTGTAATCAACAAGGTTTCTAGTACAACAAATCTGATTCTACCATGCTACGAAAATAAAATCTAGTAACTCTCATACATTCATGTAACAACCCACAAAGATATTTCAGACAGAACACACAATATTAATAAATACAAATTAAATAAAAATTTCATATTATTTTATTTCAATCCAAAATAATTCTGAACTCTGTTTATTGGATGAACAAACACACTGTAGTGCAGCATCCACAGGCTGCTTGGTGTCAACGATAATATAACATGAACTTCAGTGCAACATGGAGGCTAAAACTTGTAACACATTTTAATTAACATCACAGCAACATCAACGGCAGCATAGCCAGTCCCAGGACATCAGCATTCCTTCTCTATGATCCTCTAAGGAACCTTGGCCTCCTTTACGGCAGACACCCATTCTCGATCATTTGCATCTGGCTCCATCTATTCACTTTCAGCTCTCATAAATCATATTCTGCATCTTCTAGCCATCTCAGTCTGTGCTATTTCATTTTACTTCTACCATCTGCCCTACTTTCAGCAAACTTCTCTGCAACCATTGTCTGACCCATTCTAACCACATTACAAACAGTCGGTTGTCTTCTTTTAATGTCCGCTATGAGATCAGGGGTTTTATGCCATCCTTTGCTCTTCTTAGATGTACACATAACACATACATTTCCCTTGGTCATATATGCACCAGAATTAATTAGATAAGACGACTCTGGATTCCCGTGAGCAGTTTTTATATCATGATCGTAAATATGCAAATAGCTTATTCACTCCGAATTGTGCCAACTCTGACTGATAGTAAGCAAAATACTGAATGCAGCTACTTGTGTTCATTACTCTGATGCTTCAGGATTGCCACTGTAATACGCTACATACAACTGCAAACATATGGGAGCAATGAAGCCAACAGCGTTGAAATACAAGAGACCATATGTTTAGCTGCAGTAATGGTTTTATATAATTTGTAGACTTGCCTGGCACATGTACATACATACAGACTTTGAAACCTGGAAGAAGAAGAGTTAAAACATATTATTTCTCTTCTGTGTGACATGAAACTCTTGTCAAATCCACAAAAACAGGCTGAAACTTACAAAAATCATACTAACTCGAGTTCGTATCATTCAGCAGAGGGTATATAAGGAAGAATATGAAATGATACAAATAGCATAAACAGTGAACAGACAAGTTTCATGAGAAGTAGCTGTATTCTTATGGTGCTGGAGCAAACAGGAAGGAACGGTTGTAATTATTACATGCGCCAACCACTTCTATCTTAAAAATTCTGCACTTTACCCACAGTGTGCTTATGTGTTTTTTGTTATTCTCAAAACATACAGTGACCTTTATGTGAGATGGAAAGTAGCCCCTAAAATCATTACTTACGAGGCAAGATGGATTCGGAAAGCCATTCTGGATGTGGCAAAAGATAAATTTTAACATACCTGTACCTATCAGGAATTTAGTGGTAAGTGCCTTGCCTGTATCTAGTCATTCTGTTTTATACTTTAAAAAAGAAACATACAGCTAATTATAAAAATGGCAACACATTCAGCGAAAAAACTTCTCTCAGTTCTGGGATTACTGGGTCACAATGTTCTGAAGCCTTCCACCTATGAGCCTTTCAAAATGAGACCCATCCCAATAACATTTACCACAATTTTCACAGATGTAAAACTTCTGCACTTGTTCTAGGACCCCCGTGGGAACAGCGTCCGCATGAATCGTAACTCCTTTCCTTGTCTGACAGAGTTCTACTATCACGCCACTAGGAATGCTCCGATACTGCAGCACACATGGTGGTGCCGTGCCCTCTTCTGAGTAGGCATCACTTTCACTCGAGAAGCCCTCTGCTTCTTCCCATTTTGAATAATCATCTCCAGCATGCATCTGGGCCATCTGCTGAGAGGACTGAGCTAACTGACGCATCACCTCTTGTGTCACCACAACAAAATCACCACCATTGCACACCTGGAACAAATCGTGATTAAAATCAACTTTCTAACAATGAAGAGGACAGTAAACACAATTCTTAAAATAAATCTCTTACAGTGCAGCACTGTGAGGGTACACGGTAGCGCAGTTGCTTGAGGCACTATGCTACACGCCAGAAGGTCATATGATTTTTCAATTGACCTAAACCTTTGAGCTGCACTATGGCCCTGGGGTAGACTCAGGCTCTAACAGAAATGAGTTACCACAAAACTTCCTGGAGGTAAAGGGCAGCTGGCTGGTGTGCAAGGCTAACAATCTCACTGTTGTGAGCCGATTGTCTAGAAAATGTGGGAGCCTCGACATCTCCCAATTCTATGGGCCTCCACAGCCTGTTACAGGGATACTTACATACTTACTTGTGGAGATGAGCCCTTCTGGAGGAGCTGCCAATTCAGTAGCTACTCAAGAATTTCCCAGCATTTTTTATGGAACCTGAAGGTTCATTACCGTGTTCACAAGAGCCTTCCACTGGGCCCTATCCTGAGCCAGATCTATCCAATCCATACCATCCCATCCTATCTCTCTAAGATCCATTCTAATACTGTCCACCCACCAACGCCTTGGTCCTCCATGTAGTCTCTTTCCTTCTGGCTTTCCCACCAATATCCTATACGCGTTCGTCTCCCCCATTCGTGCTATATGAGCTGCCCACCTCATCCTCCTTGACTTGATCATTCTAATTATACTTGGAGAAGAGTACAAGTTATGAAGCTCCTCATTATGCAGTTTTCTCCTACCTCCTGTCACTTCATCTCTCTTCAGTCCAAATATTCTCCTGAACACCCTGTTCTCAAACACCCTCAGTCTATGTTCCTCCCTTAATGTCATGGACCAAGTTTCACACCCATACAGAACCACAGGCAAAATTATAGTTTTGTATATTCTAATTTTTATGTTTTTGGACAACAGACGAGAAGAAAAAAGGTTCTGGACTGAATGGCAGCAAGCATTACCAGAGTTCAATCGCCTCTTAATTTCCTACTGAATCAGGTTTCGATCTGTTATCATTGTTCCCAAATATCTGAACTGTGCCACATTTTCAAAACATCTGTTTCCTATCTTTATGTCCTGATTTTTCCCTGCATTTTGGTGACGAGACAGTACCATGTGCTTAGTTTTATCTGTGTTTACTTCTAGACCAACCTCTTTGCTTGCGTCAATTAAAGTTTGTGTTTTTCTTTATGGTATCTACATTATCACCCAGTAGATTCACATCTTCGGTGCAGACCAACAGCTGATGTGTCCCATTTAATTTCAGTCCCATGTGGTTTCCCTGGACCTTCCTAATGGCATATTCTAACGCAAAGTTAAAAAGGAGTGGCGATAAAGCACCTCCTTGTTTTAGACCATTCTGGATAGGAAATTTATCATACAAATGTTTACCTACACGGACTTTACTATACATTTCGTTTAAATACATTTTAATCAACCTAACTAATTTCATGGGTATCTCAAACTCTATCAGAATACTGTACAATACTTCCCTCCTAACTGAATCATAGGCTTTCTTGAAGTCTATGAACAGCTGATGTACTGTCTCATTGTACTCCCATTTTTTCTCCAATATCTGAAGAATGCAAAAGATCTGATCTGTAGTTGATCTATTATGTTGAAACCCACACTGCTCATCCCCAATAATTTCATCTATATATGGACTTAACCTTGAGAGAAGAATATTGGACAAAATTTGATATGAAGTTGACAGCAGTGATATCCCTCGATAATTACTACAATCAGTTTTATCACCCTTCTTGTGAACTGGTACAATAATAGACTCGTTCCACTGATCAGATAATTTTTCTTTATACCAAATAGAAGCAATTAGATTGTGGATCTTAGTAATATTTTGCCTCCTGCTTGAATAAGTTCTGCCGGAATTTGATCACTACCTGGCGATTTATACCGTTTCAATTTTGCAATATCAATTCCAACCTCAAAAGGGCTAGGATCAGGTACTAACGGCTCAGCTGTATGGATTTCTGTCTGCCTAACAGTACTGACCCTATGTACATTCAGTAACTGAGAGAAGTAGTTCCTCCACCTATTCAAAATGTTGTGGGAATCTGCAAGCAGATCACCATTCTCATCCTTCATTAAGTTACTGATAAGTTGGTAACCCTTCTTAAAGTCATTTATTCCTCTATACAGGTCTCTAATGTTCTTGTTCTTACTGTACATTGCAGGCTCATCAATTTTGTCTTTCAGATATTCCCTCTTTTTGTTCCTGAAATGCCTGCTGGTTTCACGTCTTATATTGTTCAGATTATCCCCATTTAACTCGCTTGGATCCTGTAACCATTGCAATTTGGCTTGTTTTCTTTGGTCTAATAATTTTGAGCATCCTTCATCGAACCATGGCTTGTGCTTCTTCAGTTCATAATAACCTAGACTCTCTTTGGCAGACATTTTTATACTCTCTCTAATAGTTTCCAAAGCTTTATTAACATCCACCTCAGTGTCCAAGTTTTCCAAAGCCGCGAACCTATTTGAGATTTCAACAAAAACTGCTCTTTACCCTCTACCTCGTTTAATTTCTTGAGATTTAACCTTTCCATATGAACTCTGTGTGTTGTTTGTTTGCTCACTGACAGTTTTTCCCTAACCTTTGCCACCACCAGGTAGTGGTCGGTATCACAATCTGCTGCCCTGAATGATCGGACATCAAGTATACTTGAGTGCCGTCTCCTATCTATAAAAATATGGTATATTTTATTGTGTATCTTCCAATCAGGAGATCTCCAAGTAAATTTATGGATGTTACAATGCGAGAACATTGTACTTTTGACAGTAAGATTTTTTGATGTGGCAAAGTTTACTGCTCTAACTCCATTATTGTTACTGATTTCATGCAAACTCTCGTTCCCAAACGTTGGTTTGAAAATGTCTTCCCTCCCTACCTTAGCATTGAAATCTCCTAACAAAATTTTCATTGGGTACTTCGGGAATTTATCAAATACATGTTCTAGTTCTTCATAGAATCTATCCTTTATGTCATAAATTTTATCTTCTGTTGGGGCATGAAAATTCATAACAATGATATCACACCAGCGACCTTTTAGTATTATATGATATCCTATCACTAGCGAACTCTACCCTCTTAACTGCTGATATGATTCTCTTATGTATGAAAAAAACCTGTACTTAATTCATGATTTCCATTCCCCTTTCCATAGAAAAATATATAGTCTCCTGCTGGTGTGATACCACCTCCATCCCATCTGACCTCCTGTACTCCCGGTAAATGTAATTTTTTTAATGCTAGTGGGGTGGGACTAAGTCCCTTGTACTGCAGCCACTTCTGGCCTACTGTACTAGCCCCAGATGATAGGAGAGGGTGACCGTGGAGCAATTGGTGGAATGAAGATTGGCAGGGGAAACCTGCCCCAGTGCCACTTTGTCCACCACAAATCCCACTTGACCAGACCCAGGATAGAACCCGGGCCGCCAGGGTGGGAAGCCAGTGACTAACCGCTTGAGCTATGGTGCAGCCTCCTGCTAAATATAACTTATATTTTAAGATTTCTTCTGTCACTGCCCTGAGTGAACCGGCCCTATACAAACTTCAAACATTCCAAGTGCCAAATCTCATATCCATTTTCATTAGTTTAGGTCATTTATCCAAGGAATCCATCCAGGTCCAAGGCTTTGTGTTCACTTTCGTAACATAATCATTTTTTACAGTGAGGAGTTCTTAGACCCACGCCCAACCCCCAAGCTGGAGGGCCACCCCCTTCTCAGCTGTCTGCGACTGCTTATTCAATATATTCGCAGCTTCCCTCCAAAACTAGAGGGTGTCTCCTCCACCCGCAAGCTGAGGACACGCCATGCCGTGGTGACAAGGGACCCACCTAACATGGGTTACAGGGATAGCTTTACCGTTTTATTACAGTGCAGTGCTGGCGCAATACCAACATGAAATAGTGATAAAGAAAATGTCCCATGTGAAGGCAGGCTGGAATACCTCCACTGCAGCCCTGCGAGCCGTAGATGGCAACAGAAAGTGAACCCAGTGCCTGGGGGTATAACTGGGCCACCCTGTCACTGCAGGACATAAATATTGAGACCTTGCTCACCAGGTTAGGGGTTGGATGCAAGGCTGATGGCCTTGCTCTGTAACAAAAAATACTGCTGCGGAATTCACAGAAGTGAAAATCCCATGGTCTAACCCAAGACAGAATAGACAGGTCTAAGGAAGGCTGTGGTTCAAATGGGGCTGATATTAAAATTAGTCACCACAGGCACTGGGGCAAGCATCCCATTGCTGCACCAGCTGATTCCCTGTACAGTCACAGCGTTTTCACAAGTTATGTGAACAGGTTTAATCTGATCACATGCGAAGTTCATCAATATTAACTGGCCATGTGAAGCTAGTGCTAATAATATCACACAGCACAGATTCTAATAACACATCACACAACATAAAGAATAACACACAGGCTTCTACACGGATGGTCAAGGCATTTCTGACACTATGTGAATATTCTGATGGTGATACAAAGTATAAATTTTAAGACAGGTTGGTAGAGGTATTCGCTATCATCATTATAGATGTTTCCCATGATGATGTAAAAACATGATGCTCTCAGAAATAAATTTTCTGAAGGATTAAAAAATTTGAGATACAATAAAGTGACAGTATGAAACTCTGGGGCCTTATCCAACAAAGTTGTCGTAGGCAAAATCTGTACTTAAGCAGTCAGTTCTTCATAAAAATAAAATACAGTAAGAATAACAATAGAAACTGATCTGTGTGAGTACAACAGATCAATGCAATAGGAACACAGGCTTTGTGAGTTCTGCTATAAACTTACCTGACACCTGCTGAAGACATCTTGCTTGGTAACAAACACATTGAAGTACTTGAGCACTTCTTCCAGCTGCTCCTCCAGGACGTCCGACATTACAGGGTAGCAATGACCTTGAGGCACATGCTGGTACAGCTGAGCAACACACATTTACATTCATGTGACGATAATCCAAAATGACACATTTGTTTCAGTGCAGTGTACCACTGTGATGCCAATAATGCGGGGTCCATAGCTGTTGTCCAATACAGTACAATACAATGCAAATACTATTAACCCAAGTTACGAACTAGCTGCTAACACCCACAGTGCTACGTTATTTAAATTCCATTAAGTCATCACAGAGTGTACAGTCTCTTGGGATATGAGGTGTAGTTCGGAGATGGGTACCAATGTTTCGAAGGAACCTGCTGCTTCCATTTTCTGGGTACAGGAGTTAACAAACTATGTACAAAGTATTACATGCCAAAAGATACCCGACACTTTTTACCACAAAATCCTCAAGTTTCACAAAGCAGTACTGTATCTTACCCGATTGTATACAAGTCCACGGGTCACGATTACTCTATGCTGCTGGTTGGCAATCCTCACACACACATCATGGTCCTCTTCATTCTTGAGGATGACGGTATCGACCCCGCACTTCCGCAGCATCTTGCCCAGACCCTGAACCATAGTATCACACACTACTCTGAGCTGGCTTGCTGGAATTGGTTCGGTATGAGGCGATGGTGTCGCCTGTATCACCGTGTTCTGCAACTGCAAGCACCACACGTTTCAGAGAGTGTCTCCACTTCCATCATCAGCGTTTGATGTGAGGAGTGATGAGGACACAGAATGTAAGATTTGAGGTTTTCAGCCGTGTAGATATTGTGTTAACCGACGTTTCGTAGGAACGTATCACGTCCATCTTCAGGGTAGAAGAAAAAAGAAGAAAATCCACGAGCGAGGAACCAGCATCCTCGCTCATGAAGGACTGCTTTCTTGAGGCCACAGAATGTTCTAAAAGCTCAATGTCTTCATCCAGAGAGAGATCTCCAAGCAGTGAGGTTCACCACATCAACCCCTGATGGAGACACTGAACTCCATCTTCATGTGGCTTATCGTGCCAGAAGACTTCACTGCGTATGTTCATCATGAACACTTGCAATCATACACACTATGAATGAACGCATAAGGCATGGGCCTTGCAGTGTGACCTTCAAGGATCTATTGTGCTTCCTTTTGTATACTTAACCCTTTATCAATCGTACACTTCAAATGAGATGCAGGACTCTGTTTATGGAGGCATCGTCCCATAAATAGGGTCCTACATCTCATTTGAAGTGTAGGATTAATAAAGGGTTAATGAACGGGGGAGCACAATAGATCAGTGATGGTTGCAGTAGAAGGGGCAAATTGCTATGACCCACCCTTACTCATACATATATACATGGGGGTGTCATACTAGTCACGTGGTTCCATAAAAATGTGGCCCAAGTGACAAAATCTTAAATAAGCCACGGCCTCACAATCACATAGGATATCACACACTAATTCATACTACAAGCTCTTGCTAAAACAGCTGATAACTATCCATCAAAGAAATTTCGTTATATGACTGTTTACCTCTCGTTTTATGTGCTTCTTGGAATGTTTTGCCATTTTCCGTGGCGATTTTATGCTGGTCATAACTTCACTGCAGATCTCATAGAAAGGAATGTTCTGCTCATGTGCAGACCGCGAAAGCACTTCATATACTTCCAACAAACAGTACGCATCCAGGGCTGAAAGCAGACGCACATATGAAAACCAAATGCGTACGCACACACAACGTACCTCTGTTATTCTTGTGAGGTAACTGTTTGTGACAGACGATTAACAAACACACAATTAACAATCAGCTTATCATATAATGTGCATCTAGTATACATAAAATTGTAGCATGTAAATCTTTCTTACGGACTATCGGATGGAAGTAAGAATTTTGAATGAGGAGAACTTATCACCGAGATTACCGACCTGGGATAAGTGAAACTCAATGCCAAATGACAGAAAACCATTGCTGTCGAAACGATGTGCAAGTAACGCGGTAGAATTTTGAGGTGCGATTCCGAACCACCTTTCCCAATCTTTTCTTTTAGCTACCTGAACAAACTTTAATCCTTTAATTTGAGTTACTCCTTCGAAGTTTCTGTTGCTACAAGCTGCAATACTGACCGGGAGAAGTATGCCCGCAAACCTCCACCAATTCACACAGCTTACCCGCATACAGTTTCTGACTGTCCCGTAATGGTCTCCTTTCCCAATTAGAGAACTGGTCAGACTTGTCAAGGCGCTGTCCTAAGCAAAGCTGAACCAGACGAGACAAGCTCTCACCTGAGGCACCATCTTCATCTGTTTAAACAAAGTGTGAGCACTATTACAACCATTCACAGCCTTCTCTTTCAGTTTATTGACCCATGCAGCCTCATTAGTAAGCCAACCCTTCAAACCTCCATGGTACCACCTGCTTTAGCATTCAGAAACTCTGCAATCTGCTCACACAGTGTATTTATGTGTTCTGTATGGTTCTCACAAGGAAGAGGAATTACTTATCCAAACAGCATTAACTGTTTGGTCTTTGCAACGGAGCCACAGGGTGAACTGTACTTTCTTCTGTGATGCGATGCCATATAGTCTGTTTTGTTAAAACGAATGCCATTAAAATTATACCAAACTATACAGCTCACATCCCAGAACACAGCGTTCTTCATAGTCACCACCGTTAACAACCTCAAATCTGAAGGATATGCAATGTGAAGAAAGCAGTCTTCTGGGATTTGGCACCGTGTATATGTGGTGTTAACCGACGTTCCTCCGAAACATCAGTTAACACCACATATACACGGTGCCAAATCCCAGAAGATTGCTTTCTTCATAGTCACCGCCGTGAAAGCCTCAAATCTTACATACGAGATGCAATGTGTTTTCTGTGAGATGGAAGCCAAATTTTTAAATATTATTCGGATGAACTCATGCAATGAGATGGCCCCACTGTTACCCATGGTTAAGAAAGACAGGGAAAATTGGTATGGACATCGGAGAAAAATGGAAATAGGAGTGGATCCTGAATTGTGCACTGAAATCTTGACCTCGTGGGTATAAATGAAATGGTGCCCACATGAGAAGGCGTGCCCGAACAGCACAAAGGACTAGGCTGCAGAAGATGATGACTTCATAGAGTTGAAAGTGACACTTCACAGAGAAATACAACAGTTCACTGTATGTAATTTCAGAGGAGCAAACTAGCATGCATAGTATACAATACCACTTCAGTTCTGCTCATAACTTCAGATCTCTGTCATACCCTCAAAATGTCAGGAAAGAACTTCAAATGTTTCAGTCAATGCAACAAGAACTATACAGTTCTAGTTGCTAGGCAACGGCTTGGTACAGAAGTTTCCGCTGCAACCAACATGCAAGCAACAATATAGGAATTGTTGGGAATGATGTTTTCTGTTCAGTCCATGCTAAGTGGTCATAAAGGAAGGGAGCTATTGAATTGGAGTTCAGTTAGCCGTTGAACTGTGATGAGAAGGCTTTACATGTGCTATAGGACTGCGATATCTACAGTGTGTAATTCAGTGAGATTGTTATAGTTCCTGTGTTCAAGTCCACTGCCAGGAAACAGACAGTGGTAACTGTAACAGACTGAGGACACTAGTTTGAGAAACAGTGAACTGTAAAGAGTGGAAATACCAACAGCATTACATTTGTTTGTAGTACAACCTGTACTGATCAATATGTCCAATAATCCAGTACCTCATCTATATAGTCATGCACCCCTAAAATGTGACACTATAATTCACTGAATATGATTTCCACTAACACAGAGTCTGCATGCATTCAATTTCCCTGGTTTCCCATCACAGTTTCATATGACTGCCACATTTCCAACATAAACATATTTTACTCTTACCAAGTGATCACAGAATATGAGTGTGCGAACTATGGAACTCACCTGCAAAAGGAAACACGAAGGAATGATCCTGGGCCAATTTTTGCCACAGTAAAACAAGATCCATACAACCACTCCCACTGCAGCTAGCTCCGCCCAAGTGTGGCAGCGACTGCTTCATCATGTTCATGTCCATGATGAGACCAAACCCTAGAATCAACTACTCACATCACTAACTGATCCTAGAAAAAGGGGCAGCTATTTTAAAAGAGAGAAAAGCAACAATGATTGTGTACAGTTTTGTCATTGTTGAGTGGACAGCATGTATTTTATATTTGTCAGGTAAGTAAAAAAGTAAGTAAAGCTATCTCTGTACCAGGCCGCGAAGGCCCATAGGGTTGTGAGATGTTGAGGCTCCCACATTATCTAGACAATCGGCGGTAAGGTTGTCAGCCTTATGCGCCAGCCATGCTTTACTGCCCAGGAAAATTATTTAATTAATTCCTGATACTCATTTCTGTTAGAGGCTGAGTAAACCCCAGGGCCTAGTATGGCTGGAAGGATTAGGTCAACTGAAAAAAAAAATCCAATGACCTCATCAGGACTTGAACCCACAACCTCCCAGCTTGTAGCATCAGGTATAAATTTCAGCCCAAAAACCAGGTATCCTGGGGTCTATAAAGGTTCTCCTCAGGCACTGCAGGCAAATGCCTGGCTTGTACATCAGATTAGGACAAGACTAGATTTTACAACATTCTTTTAATTCAGCATTCCTTTATCATCCTAACAGTTGGCGTGACACAGTTCCAGCTATTAACAACACTGTTCATAACCTATAAATATATTAACTTCATCACAGACCATGAATATGTAATGCATCATGCAACATTTAACTGACATTACAGTCAAATATCGTTATGTGTTATCCAGAACTTTTTGATCCATAAAATAATTAGCATCCCCTGACCAGATCCCTTTTTTGGTAATGAAATTTTGTAATAGGGAATGTTAATGCAGACTCAGAAGCATGGACACAGATCAAGACATTTAACAGACTAACGGCAGCCGAGAGGAGATGTCTTAGAAGCAAACAAACAATGAGATATTTAGGAACGAAAACATTTAACAAAATACCTTGCAAGGTAAATGAATAAATAACAGATTAAGATGGTGTGAACACATTTTAAGAATAAACAAAGACAGAACTCCAAAGAATGTTTTCAATTTTGTAGGCGATTATAATTTTTACAAGCTTTTCCTGCATAAATAATTAAATTTCATTCAGCCCCCTGAACTATGACATGATGACACATCACTGCGTTCCTGTTTGCAACACACTTGAGCGATCAGAGCACAACACAATAACCTGACCAATGGCTCAATAACATCTGACTTCACATTAAATAGCAAATGTGCACTTAGCACTCTCCAAGCTAATCTTTATTTGATGTTACACATTTCTGGTTTCTTCAAAAACTTCAGAAATGTGGTCTTTCAAATGTAATTATATGTGAGAGAATATTTCTGATAAAATTTTTGCAATTTATACGCAAACATACACCAGAATCACCCAACTCTACACTGTGGACAATACCAGTTTGTGAAGCGTACTTAAACTGCTAAATGCAAATGTCAGTTTACCCAGCTTGATGATAGTTTCATTGGCAAAGAGGATGAGACCCAGCCCATGCCACAGTTCCGGACATTCTGAACCCAAGTTACAAACGTCCAGAATATAGACTCGTTCTCTAGTGGCTATCTGTATCAGAGCCAACTCATTTCTTCTAGTACCGAAGTATGGTTTCCATTCTGAATCAATACCCACCATAGGCACATCCTGCAACCAAAAGCATCCTCTTAATATCTGGGATCTGACGTGTCCACAGGGATAAAAACGTAAATGTAGTCTGCCAGGTTACAACACCATGCAACCTTGTAGCTGGTTACCAACCTGCCGCCTACATCTTCAGAGATTATTTACACGCTAAGCGGCTGCCTTGTTGACACATTACTGCATGTACTCAAGTTGCAAATATATGAGACAGTCTCCAGCCATGACTACAAACGGCTGCAGACAGCTGATGCTAGCGATTCTCCAGTATGGGAACAAGAAAAACAGGTCTACCTTGAATAAGCAAGCTGCAAGCCCCTCCAATGATGCAACATAACCCAATTCAATGCAGCTGAATTGACACACATAAAACTCTAATATTCAACTCCAATACAGAGTAACACTCTCCTGTAAGTAACGTTTAAATGCCATGCAGTAAGGTTGTACCAAACTACATGGTATCACATCCCCGTACACAGTAACCTTCCTAGAATCATAATGTGAATCTCATATCTCACAGAGTGGGGAGTAAAATACAGTACCTTGGTAGGTGAGGACGAGCCTCAGCCAGAGGCCAGTATTATAAAAATCTAGCAATAACACTGCTGATCACAGTGGCCGCACAGTCTAAGGCATGAAATGTCTTCACCCATTCAAACACTAGGATCATGCATTCGAATCCCACTCAAGACATGGATGAATGTTTGTGTAAGGTAATGGCCTTGCAATGAGCTGATCCCCCATCCAAGGAGTCCTACTGACTGACTTAGATTAAGAAACTGAGGTGAAGTGAGAACCAGTTCTCAAATGCTAGAAATCAATACATACAAAATAATATTAAGGTTCATTGGCTGTGCACTTTTAAAAAAATAAGGTAAAGTTATCTCTGTAACAGGGCCATGTCACAGCTCAAGAGGCAGCGGCCCAGGTTCGAGCCTGGGTCTGGTCAAGTGGGATTTTTGGTGGACAAAGTGGCGCTGGGGCAAGTTTTCTCCGAGTACTTCGGTTTCCCCTGCCAATCTCCATTCCACCAATTGCTCCACAATCACCCTCATCTATCATCTGGGGCTGGTACAATAGGCCAGAAGTGGCCGCAGTACAAGGAACTTAGTCTCACCGCACTAGCAATAAAAAAATAATATCTCTGTAACAGGCCGTGAAGGCCCATACGGCTGTGAGATGTTGAGGATCTCACATTTTCTCTGGACAATAGGCTCTCGGATGTCGGTAAGGTTGTAAGCCTTACACACCAGCCGCCCTTTACCGCCAGGAAGATTTCTGGTACTTATTTCTGTTAGAGGCTCAGTCAACTCCAGGGCCACAGTGTGGCTGGATGGATTAGGTAAATTGAGAGAGAGAAAAAAAAAGATCCACCTCATCAGGACTCGAACCCATGACCTTCCAGCTTGTAGTGTAGTGCCTCAGCCATGATACTGCATGCCCCTGGCTGTGCACTGTGCTGCTACGAACGGTGTCCTGAGCATAACATTATTCAACATTAATAGCATACCTCAACGCTCAAGTCTGGCCACCAATCCACAGTACCACAGCATTTAATATCCCCTATTCCCAGACAGGAAGAATTAATTTTGCTCAATTATGCCCAGATGTCAAACACAGGCTCTTACTTTGATGGAAGAACAGAAACTAGAAGTGTCACAAAATAAAGGGCCAATGATATTATCTACAGCTAAGATGGATGAAGTAATTGACAATTTAGGATATTACATAATGAGGAACTTTCCGATTTATGCAGGTTACCTACAGCCGTTAGGACAGTGAACCCTAGGAGACTATGAAGATCTGGGCACACTGCTAGAATGGGGAGAAAAGGAATGCATACAAAATTTTGGTGGGGAATACTCTAGGAAAACATCCACTTCAAAACAGAGAAGGAAATTTTATAGACGGATCTCAGGGAAAGACACGATTGGTAAGGGAGATGGGACTTGGCATTTGTCCAGTGGTACTGTTAGACTTCTGTGTTCCGCTGCTATATACATAATTACATCTCACATGTTACATCATACTCATTACAGCATACAGCTTGTTTATATTGTATCTGGTTTACTGTTATCAACTGTTGTATTGGAATATTGTCTTATCTCACATAATTTTGTCAATTTTATTAATGAAGTGAACCAGAATTAGAATTTTGATATTTATTGTATCCGATGTAAATTTGTTTATGTATGTCCGCTTTATGCTTTATAATTGTTTGCATGTATGTTTGTTTTGTTTTTTGTCTTTGACATGTTTCAATTAATTATTGTAACTTAAATTTTGATCTTGTGACTCATTCTACATCCTATGGCTTGTATTATGCCTGTATCAGGATCAATTAGAAAGTGAAATAAATGAATGAATGAATGAATTACAAGTTTACTTCAATAATTAGTAATATTTACATAAAAAATACTCTTACAAATCATCAGGGAACTTACTTTAACATAATCAAGAAACTGCTCAAAGCTTTCCTGTGTATCCACAACAATTATGCTGCTCTGGGGCAGAGGAAATGTGTGATACCGGACAGGAGTTAACTCATCGTCCCATGATTCCTCTTCCACTTGGTAGTCACTAGACACCAGGGCCACCGCTCCCTGCTGCTGGCTGCAACCAAGCACGACACAAAATACCCAGCACAAGGTTAACAGTCTGCATGACCTCAGTCAACTAAAACCATAAGGTGGTCTCCATCTTGAATGGAACCAAACTTCCAAATGTATCGCATGTATGTATGTATGAGTTACGTCTCTCAACAGTACAGATATTATGCTATGAGAGAGAGACAGTAAATAGGTCACAAACAGAAGTAAAACATCTGCAACTGGCATAATAGGGTTTCTGTGTGTATTACTAGGTAGCAGCACAGTCCAGCTTCATGACGGTCTAGGTAGCAGATGCACATGTTCGTGTTCAGGAGCTAGTTTCAGTAGTCAAATTGGTGGCCATGCTTGAGAAGTATACTACCGAAGGGCAGAACTCTTTTGTGTGTTTTCTGTGAGCAAAAGAAGTCAATGCAAAGGATTTAATAAAGAAATGTTTCCTGTTTATGGTGGAACGTGGCTGGCCCCTACTGACTTCCATCTGTTAGGTCCACTAAAATACCATAGCAGTGGCAAATATTTCGCTGATGACGAAGAGGTTGGAAAGGAGGTGCAAAAGTGGGTGAGACGACAGTCAGAAGACTTCTACGCTGCAGATTTTGATGCACTGATAAAGCAATGGGACAAGTGTATCAATGTTGGTGGAGGATATGTCAAGAATTAAGTGTTCTGTTTTCCATACATCCATTTGTGACGTATTTACTGACTCTTCCTCATATATTGACATATCTGTTGTGGAATCATGAAATTTCTCAACACTACATAAAATATTAACTACCTAAGTTAAAACTATTCCCCCAAAATCGAAAAATCTTATGGATAAGTTTGTAAACACAATGCAGAGGAGGGAACAAAATTTAAATCAAGTCTACCATACTCCACAAGGCAAGAGATGGTATATGGTAAAACAAGAGAGAACAAGGCAAAGACAAGCAGTAGTATGGTGGCAGTATACCTCACAATGCAAGCAGCAGAAAGAACAAGTTGCCAACTCCTATAGCAGTTAGTTACAAGGCAATTTACTCAGCACAGTGACAGAAAACAGACTATAAACGGTTTCACCTCTCCATGCACTGTTCAACTACGTAATCTGGTCATGTTCATGACTCCGACAAAAGGAACAGAACAACTGTTCTGAGTTCATGCCAGCTCTTGCTCTGTGCGGTCTCAAATGCTTGTTTACATATGCACTGTGATCAAAACCTGAATGTAGTTAAAAACATTCGCAAAAGATGGCATCAGCTTATAAATAAGTTTATAAAGATACAACAAAATCTACATAAGAAGACCACAAAGTGAGAATTATGACAAACTGACTGCAAAGGAGAAACAGTCAAAAATAAATAAATTACAACATTTGCCTCGTGAAGAACAAATTTAACCGTAATTGGCCACAGTAAAACATCAGACTCCAAAAGAATATAATTTGAACCTTACCTAACACCTGGATCTTCTTCTTGAAGCATCCGAACATTGTATGGCCATTTATGTTTTGGAATTCCATAAGTGTTTGCCCAGTACAAAGCTTCATGTGGGTCACCGTAACTATTAACGCATATGACAAGCTCTAACTGCAAGTCTCCATTGTTTCCAACTGTTTCTCGTGCCATTTCGCTCCAGCTTTCTGGACCTACAATTATCAATTATGATTTTATTGGACATTAGTCAACAGATAAATTTACAGAAAACCAACCATGTATTCATTATATGGTCATCTACTGGGTTATGATGGCATGTACTGCGGTAACTGGGGGAACATACCGGCTCATAGTTCAGTGTAGCCGACTCTCCAAATACTCACACCAACCTATCTGAGTACACAGTTTCATAACCTAGTATACCGTAATATGAATCATCATAACAACCTCAAAACTACCAAATTATAATACATAAGGACACACACTGATGCATGCACACATATGATGTGCTAAAATTAAACTATAAGTCAGGATCCTCATTTATTTACAGGTATTTATGATTTAATGACATACTTTATCACGCTTCATACTAAAAATATAATCTGCATAAATTCACTATTTTCTGTTTAGTTTCAGATAATGAGGTGCAGCACTGCTCTAAGAAACCTTAATGGAATCAACATACAGCAAATCATCTCACCTGAATATTTACCATATATTATGCAGATATGTTCAGGAAAACACCTTATACTCCCGTACCCTTTTGCCCTTGATAGGAGCATGCAGTAGCGTAGTTTGTTGAGGCACTATGTTACAAGCCTGAAGGTCGTGGGTTCAATTCCCAATAAGGTCACTGTACTTTTCAATTGAACCAATCCTTTCAGCTGCACTATGGCCCCTGAGTCAACTCAGCCTCTAACAGAATTGAGTACCTGGGATCTCCATGGGGGTAAAGGGCGCAGCCTCCAACAGAAATGAGTACCTGGGATCTTCCTGATGTTAAAGGGCACAGCCTCTAACAGAAATGAGTACCTGGGATCTTCCTGTGGTTAAAGGGCACAGCTTCTAACAGAAATAGAACCTGGGACCTCCATGGGGGTAAAGGGTGAAGCCTCTAACAGAAATGAGTACCTGGAATCTCCATGGGGGTAAAGGGCGCAGCCTCTAATAGAAATGAGTACCTGGGATCTTCCTGATGTTAAAGGGCACAGCCTCTAACAGAAATGGGTACCTGGGATCTTCCTGTGGTTAAAGGGCACAGCTTCTAACAGAAATAGAACCTGGGACCTCCATGGGGGTAAAGGGTGCAGCCTCTAACAGAAATGAGTACCTGGAATCTCCATGGGGGCAAAGGGTGCCAGCCTCTAACAGAAATGAGTACCTGGGATTGGTGAGGTAGAAGGGTGGCTGGTGCATAAGGTTGACAACTTCAGCACAATCGGTGACCTGATTGTCTAGACGTGGGAGCCTCGATGTCTCACAGCCCTGTGGGCCTCCATCACCTGTTACAGGGATACCTTTATCTTTTTACCTTTAACCTCTCGTCCTCCATCTGCCATATTTTCATTGCTAATTTTAGCAACTGAATCATAAATTCCATTGTAGATCCACCAACAAACTTACCTACCTAAACTGTTTTCTATGTATCGCTTATGGATGAGGAACTGGAGGGCTCCCTCGTTTCGTTTCTGATTCAGATTTGGGCAACATTCTGGTGGCAAAGTGTATGCCTTCGTTAGTCTAGCAACAAGTTTGCTCAGAGGCTTATGATACAGCTTCTCTACTTTCACATCATGTATTTGCAGCCTTCTGCAACATTACAACCATGTACATTAAGAACATTCCTTCATATGTAAGGTAAAGGTACAGTTGTCCCTGTGCTTAACTAATTAAGCACTACGCCATGAAGGTGTATTGGGGAGTGGATGTATAGATATACACTTTCTTGACCTTGGCACTATTTGGAGGTGAGAGGTCAGCTTCATGCCCCTGTTGCTTTACCCTCGGTACCCATTGGATAGGAGGCTGGGTGGGCCCCAGAGCTGGTCTGGACGATGTGGAGAACAGAAAATTCTTGCCCTTACCGGGACTCGAAATCCGACCCCTTGGTCGTCCAGCCCGTAGCCAGTCAGTATAAGTCCTTCATATGTAGCTCTTCTAATACTATAAGGCAAAACAGTGGAGTGGGATAGCTCAGTCACTTCAGTGACGGGGCTACAGTCTGGATTGCAGAAGAATCTGGATCAGTATTCACGCTTCTCACCGTCCCTGTGCAACTTCGTCGATGTATTAAAATTCACACTTCAAAAGCATTCATATCATCCTAGCGTCTGAAAAATTGGAAGAGACAAATGCTTCTGAAGTGTGGATTTTAATACACTGATGAAGTTCGGTCATAAAGTGTGAGCGCCAATTTAGAATGCACAGCACAAAATGATGCTGCAGTATATTATTACAAAAGAATATGGGTTCACTTCCCAGCAGAGGCAAGAGGTGTTTCTATTCTTCACAGTGTCCAGAGCGGGACTCACTTAGCCTCCTATCCAAAGGTTAACCCTCCACTCCCCCCCCCACATCAACATTACAAGGTGCTTAACAAATTAAACACAGCGATAACTTTAACTTTTACAACAAAACACTAAAATATTATCATTATTCTACATGTTGTTAGTAATATAAAAGTAAACAATACAAGCTTCATGTAGCAAAACAGAGGCTACCTAAACTTAACACAAGGCCAGCAAAGCTCTTCAAATCATGAAGACAGCTTCAGATAAAGTTACTTATCAATAAGCAGTGGTGACAGACATTCTTGCTGCCCCCATACCACCTGCTAGGCTTAGTGAGGTATTTGTTTGACATATTTCAGTTGGTAGCTTGCGTGTGGTTATGACAGCCAGTGGCACAACTGTACTTATTTGTGAGATGGCTTCTTAAATTTGACTCTTACATACTCTTACCCCGTCTACAGTGACTAGTACATGCGATAATATCAACAGTAACACAATCAGAGATATCAAATTACAAGTAACGCTTACTGAATAATAAGGTCTGCTTCATTTCTAATGTTCCTTTTACCCAAGAGGGCATCCAGAAATGAGACTAGAAGCCACTGGTGCTCTGGGCTATCCAAGAGAAACTCTTCAGCAACTGACAGCTTGTCTTGGAACACTAATGGGATGATGAAATCCTCCACAGTGAAGTGCTGATGGAGTTCAAGAATAGTGGCGCACTGGCATGCCTACAAACAACAGCACACCTTTATTATTCTGTATGTCTTCCTCAGTGGGATATACGAAGTTTCACAACCATACTGAAACAAAGCCAATGAGAAGACATTGCACATACTCTTTTTTATACAAATGACCTTGACTACTTTACCTTGGAAACAAACCATGTTTGGTTATCCCACAGTTGGTTGCAGAATCCATCTGACCAGTAAAACCAATTTTGAGAAAACTGAAATTTCCTGCTTAGGCCCACAGTGCCTGTACTGTTATTTTCCTGAAGATATAACCTATACAGTTTCAGTTAGGAAGATGGTCTACATAAATTATTTAAATTTAATCAAAATTGTTAAAACTGTTTTGAATAATATCACAATTTTGCTTTTAGGTGAGCACTGTGAAGGTTTCTATTTTTGGACCTGAATATTCACATTTGCCATGCTCCGACCGACAACAGATACCAAATACCAAACAAATAAAAATCCTTCCTCCATTCAGGCAAATGTCAGGACTGTACATCACAGAAGACACAACTGCTTCTTGCCATGTCCTTTGTAATTCATGTATCACCACACCATTTGGCCCTACACAGCCGTAAAACAGCCCCAAACACACCAATCAGTTAACACTGCTTACAGAAACTATCATCACATACTGTGAGAGCCACATAAAATCACAGTAAAAACATTCTGCTGACATATTTCAGAAGGTCTGTTTGTTAAAGCAGGTGGTATTTATAGTTACCACTGGCTTTCAAGGGTTACATTTAATGATATACTAACAATTATAGGTGTACAAAATGTCAAAGCACACAGTCAATACTCACTTCTTTGTATTGTTGTCTGGAAATCAATTCTCTTATCGGTTCCACAAAGAGTTCCTTATCATCTCTCAAATGATAAATCCTAAACACCATCTTGGTTAATGAAATGTTTCGTTGTTGAGTGGCCAAGCCGAATGCTTCATGCTTCAGGTCCACTGTTAAACACTGCTTCAACTCAATTTCTTTATGTGCTGTCCATCTTGAAAACTCTTCCATTACTGCAAAAATTAACTCTGCACTAATGTGGGATGAAAATTAGGTTAGGAAACTCTCATTTTGTACCAGCATTTAAGCCTCAGACACACTGAGTCTCTTGTTTAGCCTTCAATACATGCAGCATGCATCACTATCAGAAGGAAGTCCAAAATTATGGTGTATTTTCTGCCATCTTGTACTGAGAAGGTCAATTACATCAACAATTAATTTGGAGTCATTAAACAGAAGAAGCAGAGTATCAAAATTAATTTACACAGCATATGGTGAAGAAAATCAACACTAACAGATGTTTCAGAAGAAACTGTTGCCTCCATCTTCAGGGTAGCAAAAGGCAAAGAGAGCAGGTTTGTTTGAAGGGCCAGTACATATTTACCAGACTATGAAACTCGTTCTAGTATCATTCTTCTGGCTGCTGTTCTTGGCAAAGGAGCACGAGTTGTTAAAAACAGTCCCACGCGCTATGAGCAGCAACCCAACTCTGCAAAGAACTCATTCGACTGCTGCCGGAACAAAAGCACCAGTGAGGCCCTGCCATCTTCGTCCAGATGAGGGCTGTACGTGGGATGGCCCAACAACATCTACCGCATGGAACATGGACAGAAGCGGCTGTGCAACGCAATGATGCCCCTCACTGGTACCCAGGTAGCTTTTCTTCATGTCAGTACGAATGTCTTGGAGACCCTCACAGTAAAACCGTGTTGATGGAGATGTCAAACATCTTGATCATCAGGTCAAGATATCAACGCCATGGTGTGCGGTGCTTCCAGCAGCAGCCAAAGGAGTTCTCTGCAGAGGGAATCTATCATCTGGTGTCACAACCGGATACCCCCCCCCCAAATTCCATGGGGACCTCTGCCCAAAACCATCACTGAATGAATTTCACTTGAACCTTCATACATGGCGTTACATCTCAGCAGATGTTATCACAATTTTCAACACCATGAGATTACAAAATCTTAGCACCAAGAGTATACAAGATTTTCTTACTAACATAAGTTTGAAAACAAAAGTAATGCATATCGCTTTTACAATATCTCCTCTTTACAAATACAGTGGTATCTCTGACATTAATCAAACGCATAATGTACAGTGCCATAGCTCAAGCAGTGAAATGCCAGTTTCCTGATAACCCAGGTCCAATCCTGGGTCAAGTCATGCAGGACATGTGGCAGACAAGATGGCACTGGGACAGGTCAGGTCTAAGTACTCTGATTTCCCCTGTCAAATCTCACTCCACCAAATGCTCCACATTCATTACTCAGCCTGTCATTGACGCTTGACAGTCTTGATCCTGACAGTGTTGTAAAATAACCAAATTAAAAAATAGCACATATTTAATCTGAAATTATCAAAAACCTCTAGGTCAGAGTCAAACTCTAAGTGAAACCATTTTTTTATTCAGGTCACATCAGCACAATTCTAAACAGAAACTAATAGCTATATCTGAAATCTAACCTGTATATGCAAGAGAACTTGCTTTGTTCTGACGAATATCCTCACAGTTGAAAGTTATGTGAAGTGTCGCTGCGTATGGATTGGGTGCAGATGCAAAGTATTCGTGCAGCACCTGTGTCATTGTATCACTCTTTTTCCCTGTCAAAATGAATTGGAAGAACATGGGAAAACAGACAACGGAGCCACAAAACTATACAATACTATAAAGAACATATTCTGAGGCAAGAACACTGAAGTTTAATTTAAGTTTTATGCCAAAATATAATATCACCATATATACTTCGGCGAACAAGGAATTTTATAATGAAATTCAGGAAAATTAACACATGGGCTAAAGAGGCTGGGGAGGAGATGTGAAGCTGAGCTCTCACCCCCAGGCACACGCTGCTGATACGAGGCCACACCACCACTCCTCATGGCATGGCAATCATTATAAATTTACATCTCCTGTTAGCCATACTATACAGCTCAAATATTTTGAAGCACATTATAAATGTTCCTCCAAAAATTTCATGTATTAACTTTCCATATGTTATGACCTGTTCAAGTTAAGAGTCAACTGTAAAGACAACCACCTCCTCTAAAGTAAAGTTCTGTGTTACATATTTTCCTGGTGGCTCTCTTTTATGGATATTCTATTGGTAGTTGCACTTTTACTTAAAATCTGGGATTTAATTCTTTCAATTAAAGTTATAGCAAACCAAACACATAATCCAACCTCAATTCGCAATCAAGAGAAACTTCTTAATACGATTTCGCAAACTCCATACTCTAAATCACCCATCTGACACAAAGTGATAGTATAAAAGCCATTACTGGAAATTATATTCACATAAAGACTGCCAAATGAAATTACTCCTCTACACACAAAAATCTCACAACAAATGAACCTTGTGACGTAACGATTTTATGGTCAACCTACATAATCCCCAGATGTACTTCAGCTGATTTATCCATAATGTTGTTGCATTAGCAGGCTCATCTGTGGGAAATTTACAATGGTTAAGCTGCGTTGGAACATCAGGGTCTTGCTGCTGAGAATTAGATGGGCCTTCTGGGTTCCAATCACAATCTCCTCTCCACCTAGAAGCCATGCTAAAAGCATAAAGATTTAGCATACTTTCAAAATGTATATAAAAAAAAATCACTAGAGATACAATACCTTAGTTGCTACTCAAGCCGCAATACAAACCTTCGACGTTTACATACAGAAAGTCACGCAAGGCTTAAAACCCCATATTCTAATTATGTGGATTGGGGGACCTATGGTTAAACACGCCATAAAACAAGCAAGCAAACTTCTCCAGTATTTATTTCACATTTAGCGGCGCCTGGGAGACCACTTAATTTTTAAACTACTGAACTCATAAGAAATGTATCTCCGAAAATTTATATAAAACATACAAAATAAAATTTACAACAATCTGCCGTAGAATCCACATTAGCCAAATAGCTTACTGTATCACGCAAAACTGTTTCTACGAAACACAAAACACTGGCAGTAGCTGATATTTTTACTTTTATTATTATCTTCAAAAGTCAGCTTGGTTTTAAAGAAAACACATTTTTGGACATATCCTCTAACATCGAAACTCGTAACCCACAAGAAACCACCGCCTTCTCGGCCTTCGGCAATTTACCGCCATTCTTACGCCATGATCGTAATTTCCCTCTAGGTGGGTGAATTTCTCTGCAATCGAGGACTTCACACGTATTACACTCACCTAGGGGAGAGTATTTTGAGACCTAGCAATATCGAGGCCATATGGTATCAGATGTTAGAATTACTGACGAATAATAGGAAATATATTGGGTGGAAATGGTCATTTGCCTACAGGGACTGGAAAAAAAAACACAATAAGACCCAATCACGTTAGTCGTTCTGAGAGGCGGATTTTTGAAATGAAAACCTCTATCCAGCAGAGGCCTTAAGTGAATAAATTCCCCATTACAGAACGCAAAAGTTCAATATCATGTTCAAAACTGTCCACAGACTAACTTCCTGAGCCAGGTGAATCAAAGCTTAGCACATTTGCATAAAGCCCATCTTAATTATTATCCTATTTATGCTTAGGTCTCCAAAATGCTCTCCCCCTGTGTGTTTTTAGGAAGCATACATGACACATTCATCTGTTTTTCCATGACTTCATCACTAGTGTATCACTGTGGGTATAAATTACGCACTTCATCATACACTTTGCTTTACCATCCCGTTACTTTGTCTTAGATGCAGAAATTCTCACCATCATGCTACCTTCAAACAGTGAATTTTATATTCTCCTATTCCAATGAGAGGTAAATTGTTAGCTCACATAAAACAAGAATAAATCGTCTTGTTTCTAGCAGATGGAGGTACATTAAGAACTGAGGGGCAGTTAGCATTCCTGTTACCTTGTGTTAATTTTTCTGAATTATACTTTGATTTGTTCTGTCATTCTTAAACAGACTATATTTTTAATGAATTAATTTCTTTCTAAATTTCTTTTGACTTGTTACTCTCATTCACAATTGTACCACATTTTCAAGCAATTAATTCAGTTCTAAATTTAACTTTTAATAAGTTGCTGACATTCCTAAATATGCAATACTTTCAAACATAAATGATTTTTCCTGCTTCACTGCGGCAAGAAATGAATATAGATATATATATGTCAATCTCTTTGTATGTACTTCTACATCAGTCATCTCATTAGACTCACAGACACAAACCTGGAATGTGGTAACAGACTTGCCCATAGATAATTTCAATTGAAAGTTACCAGATTCTTTAATTATACTACAATTAACATAACTGTCACCAGTAATGTATCTGAAGGGCAGTTTCATTCAATATAGGTTTCATACTTACTAACGGGGTTGCTATAAGGCAATGCTCTAGACTTTTATTTGGTACTCAGTTCAAATCTCGGCTAGGACACCAGCCTTTTCTTTTGGTGGTTTTCCTTGATCCCTCCAGTCAGATGTCATGATTGTACCTCAATTATGACACAACTCTTTCTTCTAAATCCCTTCCCTTCAGTAAATAATACCTAAAGAAAACATACCGTACTTGTTGAGAACACATTTTCTCTCTTTATTGCTCTCAACAACAGCGGCATAGCCAGAGAGTGTGGTAAAGGGAAATTTATTATCACAACATATATTATTATTCTGCAACAGCAAAGAGTAAATTTCATCAATCAAGTTTGCAGTTCACCATTTCATACATACTTAATAATCCAAATATACACACTTGGTAGTCACCAAGAAGTTTGGTGTACTAGCAATGCTAGTCAGGAGGTAGAGACTTCAAATCTCTCATGGGAATGCAGTTAACTTCATAGGTTTCTAGTGGTTTTCTTCCTCCCTTTGAGGCAAATAATAGGATCATACCACCAGTAGGCCACGACTTCTTCCTTCCAGATCCTCTTCAGTTCATTATTCACCCATAATCACATACTAAAATCCAACGCTACATACTCTATATGTCATTATATAAAATACAAAAAATGAGTAAAATAAATAAATTGTGAGTGGTTACAGCAGCGAATGCTGACAGTAATCAATGCCATTGGAAGGAGCACCTGAATTAGTACCGCAGAGTCCACTTTTGCCAGAAAGTGTTCACTGAATCTTGGAATAGATGTAGCTGCCCTTCCAGAACTTTACAAGCTGCTTATTTGAGAGAAGACAGCAGGTTCCTCCAAAATGTTCATACCTATCAGACTGAATTATGTTAGATCCCAGAATTTTGGCATATATAAAACATACTTTTGCATGGTCCATAAATTGAAAATTATAAATTTACTTAGAAATGGATTATTATACAAATAAATTTACACGCAATATAAAACATATATCTAATTAAGATCTATATTTATTGCATATAGTATCTTATAATACTGTGGCATCTAGACCCATTGCTAGGCAACAACCACAAAATAACCAACTATACAACATCTGTTCCTAGGCACCAGCTTGTAAACAGTAACAACAGAATTGTGTTTTCTACGCGGCCCAACCCGAGACGTTATAAGCAGGAAAAGTGAAGAGTGTGTAATACTTAACTGTAAAGTGTAGTCACACCCTGTATCGAAGAGTTCAATAAATTTAGTCATCAATCCAAAACCCGTCTATAGTCATACTGCGTATCTGTGGCAACCAGAACCCATTCACACTCTGTGCACATTCACCAACATCCATCGGATACACTGAATTTCCATAGTAGACAGAAGAGTTTCAATTAAGANCGTTCCTCCGAAACGTCGGTTAACACCACATATACACGGTGCCCAATCCCAGAAGACTGCTTTCTTCATAGTCACCGCCGTGAAATCCTCAAATCTTACAAGAAGTAAAATGTAAACATATTCATCGTGTTTATTAGCAATGATTACTTTATTGACAGGATGCTTATTATGGTGCGATAGCCCAATGCAGAAAGTTACCTTTCCACCTCTTGCCTTAAACCGGTGCACATCTTCGCCCTCAAACCAACTTCTCTCACAACCTCCATTCCCAGCCATGCAATGGAAGCTGTTGCCAACATCATACTGGAACATGGGAGTTGTACGAATAATTGCAGTGTTCTGGGTACACACCACAAATTTTGCAGGATTCCTTCAAGAAATGTAAAGCCGCTGGACAAAATGTTGATGTTATCAGGTTCTTATTATATGGCTTTATACTAACCACATTCAGTTATGTCAGGGGAAGGCTATAGAACAGGAAACAGGATGGGGAAAAATGATGAAATTGTGATGTGCACGTTGATCCAGGAGTTTGTAGTCTTAGCAAGTACAAGGCCCCAAAGACTTTGAATGCAGGGTTTCCAGCCTATGATCATGCCAACAGTTCCACCAGGCAGAGACTGCAGCCCAAATTCAAGCCCAGCAGTTGCAACAAGCAGAATCTAAAGTGAGTTAGAGAACTGCAGGGGTTCAGTTGTTCTGAGCTGTTGATGTTAGAAGCTGGTAGCTGAGACTCAGGACCATTTGGTAACTCAGAGGAAGGGAAATGTCCTCAGTTGAAAGCCACCACCAAGCAACGGCAGTGAAGATATGACTGTGGATACTAGTGTGTGTAATAGTGAACCATAAATTTTAGTAACGTGCTGCATCAGTGTGTCCAATAAATCAGGTCATCAATCCAGAACCCATCTGCAGTCACTAAAATCATGTGAAAATATGGTGAAATATCCAACAAAATAAAGGACAATTTTCTTTTTTTCTGACTGCAGGTAGTGTATTTGCGTTCATAACAAAACTGGCTATTGGTACTCATTAGTCTATCTTTCTCCTGCTAAGTAAAATACATAGGTTACGCCAAATAGTAAACCGATTTTTATAAACAAATTTTTTAAAGACAGTGATTCGGTATGTAAATGACATGCATTCCATTTTTAGATACTGCATCATGTATTATGCTGATATAGGACATAGCAGCCAGAAGGTTAATAAGGGCCAATGAAGGAATGGATTTGAAAATACTTCAGAGGTACATTCAATACTTGATTTGTATCACAGTCAGCAGTACAAGAAATTCATTTTGTCATCCAGATTTGCATCACCAGTGAATAAGGAGAAAGACCAAGGGAACCTCAGAGAATGCACATGGAACTACTGTGTACTCCCACTGTTCTTTCTATATGCTCTTGCACTCAATTTCCATGGATTACACTGTCTTCTTAAAATGTTTCGGATGTGTAAAGGTAAAAGCAGAAGGAAAAAATACCTGTGCTCAATCAAGCACCATGCCATGAAGACATATGAAGCAGCGCAGGTACAACTATATGCACTAGATACAGTGAATGTCTAGCTTCAAGCTCCAGCCGCTGTACCTGTAGGGAATGAATATCTGGTAGCCACTGGATAGGAAGCCATGTGGGATCCAGAGCTTGTCTGGACGCTATGGAGAAGAGAAAAATTCCTTGGTCCTGCTGGGCTTCAAGCCACGATTAACTGTCACCTAGCTGGTAGGAAAGTCACTATAGTGACTGAGCAATCCCAGCTCCAAATATATACACTTTTTTGTTAATTTGTACAGTAACAAACGGATTCCCATTTTGTTCTTCATACAGGACTCACTGTTACCATAATCTGCCACAATTTCTTTCACCTGTAATGAGTGAATTACCACCAGTTAGAAACAAGGGCCTGTTCCCAGTAGCTGAACAAACAGCTGACTTAAGGAAAGATGAAACACTCTGTATGAATAAAGAAAATTTCCTTCTGGGATGTGAAAACTGTGTAGCCTTACACAAGTTTACTGACATTTCAAATGAGTATCCAGCCCCCATCTTCAGGGCAGAAGAGTACTTACATACACCGTGTCACACCCCAGAACTCAGTAAACTTCACCATGCAAGAGTGTACCCTAAAGAAAAATTTCAATTCAACAAAAATCAAAACACACACCATTAATCAGAACTTGCTAGCAAACTGATGTAAACAATAAGAAAACCATGAAACCTAGTAACTCAAATTTACAACATGAACAGTTTATGCTAACTCTAGCCACTTCAACATGCGCCTCCAGCGGCAATGTGAACTTGCTTGAGAATCTCACTACCAGCTATTGATATACGTGTATACTTTTGAGTCTGTCTTCTGCATTTCATACTAAAGACCGTGGCTTTTGCAGTGTCCAAAATATTTTATTATAATTACATCTCTCTCAATTTCATTGACGGATTTAAAAAATGTGTTGGTTTATCTATTAAAAATTATGAATGACCGAAGAGGGTCTGCTACTGAATTTTTAATTGTTATCTACATGAATCTGAGCCTTCAAAGGGTTAAACTGAGCTTCACAATCACTGTAACATCAAAGTCACGGTTATTTGAGCGAGGATGGATCCAGTGCGAGGCTTCCATCACGTCACGCTTCTCCTGTGATATTATGTCCATCACTAAGCGGCCTCCGTAGTCTAGAAGTAACGTTCCCACCTCATGACTCATGGTACACGGGTTCAAACCCGGCGGAGGTCATGGAATTTTTAAGGGCGGGAAAATTCAGGGAACAAGTCCTCCGGGAGGGACTTTAAGCCGTGAGTCCCATGTCATAGCTTTACAGCATGTAAAAGAACCTCATGTCTCAAGGAGGCCTCTGAGCCAAATTATCGGACATTTACCGCCCAACAAGTTTCTGACGCCTCTGGTAGATGGGGGAAGCATCAGGTACCGCTGCACCAGTAGAGGCCGAACTCGCTGGCTAAGTCAGGGCTGATGGCACGCACCAGTACCGGTAGGGTACAGAGACTGGTAGAACATCAAAGGGGGACGTACAATAGACTACTAGTCGCAGTGCATGGGGAAACCCACCCCCTCCAATAATAATAATAATAATAATAATAATAATAATAATAATAATAATAATAAATGTCCATCACTAAACTTGGAATTTAGGCCAAACCATTACTAGAAAGGACTTCATTAGTTAGGGTACAAAGTGAAAGTTGTCCTTGCACTTAATCAAGCATCAAGCCATGAAGACAAAGATGAGTGAAAGAATAACACCATTCTTAACCACAGCATTAGACGCAGTAAAGTAGACAGCTTCAGGTCCGAGCCAATTCACTCCCATGGAGAGGGTCCTAAGTACCACCAGGCAGGAAGCTGGATGGGCCCCAAGGTCTAGCTGAAAGTAGTGGTAAACACAAAGATCTTTGCCCCTATTAGGAATCAAACCTGGTCCAGTCAATTTACTGATTTACAATCTTGATTCCCAGGCATGTGATTTGTGTCGGACATCTGCTCCATTCTCCAGTTCTTTCAGTCATACACTCTCTTATGAGTGAGTATTTCTGTGTACGGTTCTCTGGATTTGGTTTAGGAAGGCTTGCATGGAGAGTCTGTATTTATTTCGACGTAGAAAGGAGGAATCACTACTCATATAAGTTTTCAGGTTTTCATGGCAGTGACTGCTCAGAGTGTAGTCTTCTGATTGTGACACCGTGTACCTTCCAGGTGAATATCAATGATCTTGAGGAACACACTGCACTTCAACCCTGAAGATGGAAGCAGTATGTTCCTCTAAAACGCTGTTACCCATCTACTAGGATACTCAGTGTCACAGTGCAGAGGAACACAATCTGAATTGCTGCCTCTTATTTTGATAACATTAATCCATAAAATAAAAAGTTAATGAGAAAGCAGGTTTACATAAAAGTTGACCCAATCAGATAGCTGCTCTGTACAGGTTACTGTAATATTAAGACACGGTTTTAAAAGCTCCAGCAACAAAATGTTGATTACAAAATCAATCTCAGTAAACAAACGAGAAATTCTATCTCTGGTCCTCATCACATCTGATTGTCTGTTTCTTAATGACTTTCCAATTCATGCAGTTACATGTGATCACACTGGGCTACATTAACATTAAGATATGTGGCAGATGCCCTTTTGTCTGTTAAGTTTCAGGTCCACTTCCACAGCCTTCCGAAGTGTTACTGCTCATCTGATCCGTCCTCTGCCTGCCAGAGTGTAAACTACACAATAAAGCACCTCTGCTGTGTTGTTCTATATTTATGCAGGTAAGAGATGGGCTGTAGCTCAAATTGCTGAGAAGAAATGGACAGGATCTTGCCTCAACCGCTCCAAATGTGCACAACAGGTCCACAGATTTTTCCTACAAAAATTTTCTAAAATATCCATTTTTCCAAAAAAGAAATGCTGAACAAAACCCAGTCTTTGTAATGAAGCGCATATCTGTATGTTACGCATGTGTATCCTTTTAAAAGCACAAGCGAAGAGAATGCACTGCACAGACAGACAGGACTGTACATTTCCTTGGTTCAAGTTTTCATTATCTTATACACATTGAATTAGCACTAGAAATTGTACCCGCAGTTTCTCCGACAAGTGTACGCATTCACAGTTACACAGCCAAACACACTCCCCTATATCCAGTGGTTAAACATAACTAAATGCCCCTTACCAAGTATTACATAGCAGAAGCAGCAGAATAATATAAAAACATAACATTTTACAGAACATGAACAAAGAGGGATTAAAAATATCATGTGAAGAACAAGAGTCCAGGCTCACTAAACTGCAACGTGTGGGCATTATGCAAAACCAGACACACATGAAAACCAAGTTGGTAGTGAGAGTGTGTTTGTGTGTACCCTGGCAGTCACAGTAGCGCTGCTACTCGTGTTCGGAGGCTTACTGGATCACACAGCACTTGCACTTTGGCTTTTTCTTGATGACTACGTGTTCTACTTGCGATGCGTCACTTGCTGGGACCACTGTTCCATGCTGGACTTCCACTGCTCCTGCTGCTGCTGACTTCTCATCAGAGCATGGAGCGTTTCCATTGGCTCCAATTTTGTTTCCATTGTTTTGCTTCGAGGCTCCCAGAGGTGCAGATTGTGACAATGGAGACACGACATCCGCCGTACTGGCAGGCGTTGCAACAGGTGAAGATGCAGCACTGTGATGATCTGCCTGGTCGTGTCCTTCAGAATCTGTCACGGATGGCAGTTTGGGAGCCGCGCTGCCTGGGGTTGGTGTGATCGGTTTGCCACCCTTTATCATTTCGACTATCTCGTCGGCTTCCCGGCTCAGGTCACCATCAGGTCGAAATGGGTTATCCCACCCACTGTCAGTGCTGAAAAACGAAAAAAAAAAATATATATAGACACACAATTCTATTTATATCCTTAATAACCATCATCATTACGTTCTCTGCGAAATTTTTTAAATCTGGTACAGTCACCTTCATGACATACTCAAAAAACTAAATACATTTCTAATCCCAATCTGTTCCCATGATTCATTTAGATTCTAACTAGCAATATATCAGGAGTTAAGAAGACAACTCTTGCACTTTGTAACCATTCTGGGGCACTCTGGTTACTTGCCTGTATGTACCACTGCTTGAAATTAAAAAACTCTGCATTTGTATTTTGTTCACAGAGTTAATTTGTGTGCTTCCTATGCTTTTCACAATAAACAGTGGTCAATTTCCCAAACTGTATTAACTAATTGGTCTTTATAATGGAAGAGTGTGTTGACTGAGAAGTAGGTGCTTTGGATTTTAAATATTATGTACAAGCACTTGGCACTTCAAATGGTTAATATATATATAAGCATCTTTTTATTTACACTGATGCTCCAGTGTGACAGGTCTGACAGACTCACTGGCTGTGCCCGCCTTCTGGGAAGTGCAGAGGTGAGCTTATGGCCTCCTAGTTCCCTAACTTTTGTACAATTTTATCCCTTCACTTTCCCTCCAGACCGACTAATCTACTATAAGCTTCTGGATGTATGTCATTCAAAAATATTAAGTACGGTTCTTATTACGTGGGCAAACGTCTGCTTTTACCGGTTCTTACGGTCTCTTCGCTTGTGGCTTTCTTATATTTTTCCTTCTACCCTGAAGATGGAGGCGATACGTTCCTCCGAAACGTCGGTTAACACCACATATACACAGTGCCATATCCCAGAAGACTGCTTTCTTCAAACTGATTTTGGTTTGTCTGTTTTTCATTTTATGGAACACAGTTTCTTTTCAGCTTACAATTTACAACCAATTAAGAACTCCAATGATCTGTCATACCAAAACGTCTGTGAAAATGACTTGGGAATGACGAGGGGCTTAAAAAGTACAAAATTACATCAGAATTATCACATTTTCATAAGCAATTGTTATGCCAAGTTCTACATCACTTCTGTCATGCTTCTGGGGTAAAATTCTTGTCAGGAAGTAGTTCCCCAAGAAGTTGCATGACGTCTTGGTGATGGAGATTCCATACTCCACTGACCTCATGATCATCAGATACTGACTGGACCTCCCTTCTTATGAAGTGAAACTTACAAGCGAACTATTGGGCCCTCAAGAGGTAGTTCAAAGTTGTGACGTTGAGCACCTGCACACAATGTTAGCTACACTTCGGGATTTCTTCCCACAGAAGGACTACAAAGAAATTTGCTTAAGTTTAAGGTCTTTCATTCTGGTCCGTCACACTAACCAATTAACAATCAAGTTCCTTCCGTCAAATGTGACACTTTTTTAAGTTTTCCACCTCGTCAGCACCTGCCTTACATGTTTCGGCTCACCACGGAGCCATCATCAGAGGCATTTATAGTAGAAAAAGAAATCACCAACACACAAAACTTCACTTTGTCCAAGATAGCCACGTTCCAGTTAATTAAAATAATTACAAATAGTTAAAATNTAAAATTCAGGGAGTGGCGGGGCCCCTCCCTGCAGGCGACCATGGGCCAGTGAACCGATTTACACGCTCCAGCAATTTCCGAGTAGACAAGACAAGTGAAACCCAACAAATAAAATGCCCCAAGCGGTTTCCAAACCAAGGGACATTAGAAGAATAGGAAGACCAGGTACAAGATGGTTACGAAACGTGGGACGAGACCAGCGAATTCGTCGAATCTGTGGGTGGAAGCAAAAACAGCTGGACAGGGGGCGATATAGAAGGTCAAGGTCTGCTTTGGCCTGTAACACCACAGAAAACGAATTCCTTCCTTCCCGGTTTCAGAACCACTACTGGCTGTCCTGCGCAGGTCAGAGCTTCGGGGACCACTTCCGCTCACGGTTAGAGTCACACCGCGGAAAAACATTCCGCGAATGGTGGGCATGACAACATTCGAGGCTTCTCACTTTCTGCCTGCTGTTGCCCTGTCTGGCCTATGTTAACCTGCCCAAAACGCTCGTACCTAGCATAAGTTATCCCTACTGTGTGTCTAAAACAATTCTGTCATGCCCGGAGTAGCAACTTCATGTATCCAACAAGATCCCCAATATCGCGGTTTGGCTCCCATCGGATGCTGACTTTCTATCGATGACGTAATAATCTACGTCACTATTTGCTGACGACGATACCTCAAAGATGATTTATACACAGTTTATACCGACGCCCAAGTGAACTGAACGGATAGAAGACTGGCGGGGGGAGCGACAGCTGGTGGGAGATTTGGAGGGGGCCGATCGATGTAACCTCCCGAAGAGAACCATCTTCTGGGTTATAGCGCTGTGTAGTCCGCTGAAAATCAACCGAGGTTTCGGAGGAATATATCGTCTTCACCTTCAAGGTCGAATAAGCTGAGCAAGTTACCAACGTGAAAGCAAATTGCAAGACTCCGAAACGTCGGCTGACTTTCAACGGACTACATGGTGTTATATCCCAGAAGATAGTGCTCTTCATAACCACCGCAGTGAGACCCTCAAGTACGAGTACTAAACACGTAACGCCTTCCCGTGGCCACAGAACCTGTCTAATGCGAAAACTGGCTACAGTGACAGAACCCGGGATCAGGGGAATTTAATGTGTTTTCAGAGACTTCAATTTTGAGAACTTGCGCAGTTTCACTCAGCTCCTCCTCCGTTCGTATCCCGGACAAAGAGATTTGGACCCACCCACACCACTACTTCCTCTTTCATTGTCAAGCCACTCACACCTCACTAACACGCAGTGGCTGCCATCTTGAGGACCCGTGACTGGGGGCATCTGGAAGGGGTAATGCATACCGAGGAGCTTCATAATTTGTGCTCTTCAATAAATATTATCGGGATGATTAAGTCAAGGAGAGTGAGGTGGGCGGGAGTGTAGCACGCATGCGTGTGATGTGAAATCATCATCATCATCATCAGTAATCTGTCAAGACGACAGGTCCACAGTCTCTTCCAAAACAATTCCTCCACTTAATGCGATCTAGAGCTTTCTCCTTCAAATGACAGTATCCTCTTCTGTCCCCAAGGTCATCCAGCATCTTCTTACGTCTTCTTCCTCGTCTTCTTGTCACTTCTATCCGCCCATCTATCTTTCCTTCGATAGCTTCTTTTAGAAGGCAGTTTCTGCGTAAAACATGACCAATCCAATTAGCCTTCCGTTTTCTTATTTCATGTAGGATATTCCTCTGCTCACTGACTCTAATTAACACTTCTTCATTTCTCACATAATCGNAAATTTTCATTACTTTTTTTTTTTTTGTGAAATGTATATACAAAATGTCTTAAAAGCCGACGAGATGACCAAAACGCGTGGATGGGAGGATATTAAAATGGATCTAAGAAAAATAGGATTTTGGGGTGGGGGGTTGGACTGGATTCGTGTAATTCAGGATAGGGGTCGGCGGTGGTCTCTTTGGAGAAGGTAATGAACCTTTGGGTGTCATAAAACACAGGGAATTTGTTGAATGCCAGAGCGACTGTTAACTTCTCTGTTCCATGGAGTTATTTACTTGCTACTGCAACGCGATGTTGCAACGTAACAATAAATACAAACAAAACTGCTCTTATCTTCACAGACAGGCCAAAACGTTAAGATTCATTACATAATTAAATTATATGAGCAAATATGGATGCCAGAGCAATGCAAACAGCTACCCAACACACGGCCTTACAGAGAGAAGCAAGGGCAATTCACAACACTGGACATGGCTTACAAACACACCAGGCTGTCAATGTCAATTCTCCCAGTCGACAAACAAAAATTTCATTTACACGTTTCAGAACAAGGAAGTGTGAGGTAACTTTCCGAACTCAGTCTCGACTCGATCGAATTTCTACATACATCGGATACTTGTGACGACATCCACCCCCCCCCACCCTTCCATCTTCTCAAGTCCATTAGTTACGCCCAAATTTCCGTCAGGTCTAAAAATGGCTTTGGGGGGGGGATACGCAGCAGCGCGCGCGTTTCACAGACTGGACTGGGGTTCACTTACCGACGCTGTCCTACCTCGGCCTGCGTCATGTCCAGCGGTACTATTAGTGAGTTATGAACTGGGGAGGATGTGGAAGGAAACGGTCGTAGCCTAATTTAAGTTACTATCCCGCAATTTGTTTGAAGGGGCTGAGGGTATCCACGAATAGCTGATGCCCTGGCTGGGATTCGAACTGGAATCTCCCGAATAAAATTCTACAGCGTTACCCTTATACCAGCCTGTTCGGTGTCTTGCTGTTTTCAAAAGGTGCCTGTAGTGAAAATTTTGTATTCATTTGTCATGGATCCACTGCGTGCTATGTGCCCTGTTCACGCCATACTCTTCGTCTTCTGACCCCAATACTCTGTCCTGAAGAGTACAAATTATGAAGCTCCGTATTACGAATTTTTCTCCTTCCCCGTTACTCTCTCCCTCTTAGTTCGAAACACTTTCGCCGTCAATGTCCCCGGTTTCATGACCCGTCGGATCTACCGGTCGCATTAAATGTTTATTGCATAGGCCCGCTGAACATAATCTGTGCTCTCCAAAGGTAAACGGAACATACAACTCCCCTCCCCTCCCCCTTTTATTAAAAGAAACGAGCATCCATAAGCCGTGCAACTTCCGGAACCCAGCAGCAGTAAACACAAAACTGCATGTTTAACTTAATTACAAATTATTTGGCCACGACAGGTATGGCAGTGTCTGTTCTCCTAACGGCGAGAGAAAAATGTCATACCCACAATAAAAGGGACAAAATTTCAGTTTTCTAATCCTTCCAGCCGCACTATGACCCTGGGGTCGACTCAGCCTCTAACAGAAATGAGTACCAGGAATATTCCTCGGGGTAAAGGGCGGCCGGCGCTTGAGACTGACCTCACCACCATCTGTGAGCCGACTGTTTAGAAAATGTGGGAGCTTCGACGCCTCAAAACCTTACGG